AGGTTCGTTAATATTTTTAGAGAATAGATAAGAAGGATGAAAATAAAAAGATAAACTTTTTTTACTAACATATTTTAATTAATATTTTAAGGTTATGGCCTTAGACTTCCTGCAGAGATGTGTAAAATATTAGCAACCGACCTCGTTTTTGTGGTTTTTATTTTGTTAACACAATTCAAATTATTTTTCCGTCCGCTTTATTTCGTTTGGTACAAAATGATAAACTACGAAAATAGATTGCTTGGCACTACGGACGAAACCTTGGCAATGGGGAGCAGCCAAAAGTTTCGTAAAACATTGTTTGATATCCGATTAGCCCAATAGGCATGAAAGTGGTCGATAATTGTGTAAAATAAACTAATTTATGTTAGTGATATAAATTATCTTAATATTTGAAATTTATCAATATCAATATAGTACTGAGTATAATAATATGTCTTGTGATAATACCTAAATAATTATTGCTTTCTTCAATTGCGAGATATTACTCACTAATTTTAGGATATAACAGGGAATCTTAGTGAATATTTATATTAATAATCAACTCAACGATAATCTATCAATACAAAACCTAATGGTTCAATAACAACGTTAATACGTAAAGATGAATTGAATATCGGTACCTACAGCCTTACAGATATTTTAAACATAATATACTGAGACCGTTCGAAACTTCTGTCCAAACGTATGAACATACATAGTTTTATAGTTTTATCATTGATTTTTGTATGGAGATGAAAACTAGTTTCCTAGACAGTCGACCTTTTAGTGCACCCGAAATTAAGTAATTATATTCGTATTATAACCAGACTCCCTTATGTTTTGTAATTTTGAATCTGTCGACATGTTTGTGTCAGCAACTAACACTAATAATTTGAATTTATCTACAGTGTGCTTTTCCTAACATAGGTTAGGTTTAGAGTAAAATTATTTCTAAGAAAACGATAAATGAACAATGAATCTAGTATTCTGGTGCATTCACATAAGTAAAAAAATATTATTTTATTTTAGAATATTCGGGCTGATCCCTTTTGTACATAAACAAAACAAGTATATATTATGGTTTACAAGAGAAAAAGAATAAAAAAGAAAAGAAAATACATACATTTTTTTATAAAAAACTGTAATTATTAATGGAAAGATATTTAAAGAAAATAGTAGTTGTTTACAACAAAGTGGAAATAATTAATAAATAACGATGGATGTGAACTTCAGATTATTACAACAAAACAACAATACAATTAAATATGATAAAAAAGCTAACTAAAGGAGAAAATTGGGGTCCAAATTGGAATTATACTTCATACGTCTATTAGGCTTATTTAACAAGTAGTTGGTGAAACACAGGGCCCTATAGAATTTAACCTATAGATAAAAATTACATTTTGAAAAAAACATTTTTTTAAAAAAAATTTGAATAATGGCTGTTATTTTCTCAATTCGGAATTTATAACAAAGTTTAATCGACTTCAAAAAAATTCAAATTGTGTGTTAAAAAGAGATGTTACCATTTGATAAAATATATGTTATATTGCACATACGTGGGTCCGTTGAAAGTATTAAAAATTATTTGAAAATTGCACAAAATATGTATTTGAGTATCTCCTAGGCCCCTTCCAAAAGTCATTCCAATACAAGTTCATCTAGCCGTAGTATTTAGTGTTACTTAAAATCGTGATCACATTGTATGTATAAATAAATAAAATTAATTGGGAAAGTTTAAGCTTATATAGGTATATCTAAGAAGTATAATATATTGTATAAAGATTGTAAAGTACTTCATAATTATTATTTCACAAAGTAGGTTGTATACAGGAACACAAAGATAAAAAATATACCTACTATAGGACATAGGAAAATTTGTTTAGTGTAAAGTTTATCAATATTAAATAATAATATTCAAATAGAGATAAAAAAGAAACACAATTATTATCTGTGTAGTCAATATAAATGAATTTTCAATAATGTTTAATGTGTATTATTTATTGGTATTGTATGTTTACCGTATATACGAACAAAACTTTAAGCTACGTATAATAATACTTATATCTACAGGTATAAAATATACCTAATAATATATGTACAATTTACATGTGAAATGCCTAGAACGTAAGTAGCACATTATTAAGATTACTTATATATAAATTATTATATACAGTGCTAGATTGAGACATGAGGCCGTTGGGATGGGAAGGGGGTGTACGGAGTATAATCACTTTTCTAGATTTACGAAAATACGCTTGTGTATACGCTGTATAGCGTAATAGAAAATATCCTATTATTTACAATTTTCAACTATCAGATGATACTTAGTAGAAATCAGGTGATTATCCAAAATTATTTCAAAAAACAAACCAAACCTTTTCGACATAGATGTAACATTCAAATATGTTTATAGCTTATTTACTACTACTTTACCTTAGGTATAAGTATTCGTGAGGACAAAACCTAAATTATTTTCGAACTATCGATTTTTATTTAAAAAAATATCTATTTGCGTCCAAAGAGATGCACGGTATAAGATCAAACTAATGCTATACACTTGAATGGCATAGTGCAAACGCAAGGGGGTCGAAGGGGGGAGTGCATGTTCCCACCTCATTATTTTAGTTGATATATTTTTTTATCATTTGTAAAAAAAAGACGTAGATATCTATTATATTCTTGACTTTTGACTTTGAACCCCTACCCCCCCTTTAGTTTATATTTCTACGAGCACTCTTGCAGCATTCGACTCGTCATAACAATTTGTTTTTGTTTGCGTCCCATATGAATACTAGAGAACGCTGGAAAATAAATTGTCGGAACAATACGAGAATTCGATAGCGATTGAGCTGTGCAGACTATTCGTTCTCTAGGGTTTGATAGCCTTCGCTCGGGCCGCAAACGCAAGCGAATCAATCTTTGTGACGGGCTGAATGCCCAGATAGCCTTCATACTGAATAACATTTTATTTGATCTTACCACCACCTTCTAGAACGGTACAAATCCTACAAATATTACCTGCGTGTTCGATACATTTTGATTTTTGATATACTAAAATATCGTTCACGTTTGAGGCCTAATCTGCACCTATGCAGCCAAACACAATTCTATGGACAATAGAATTTTGCTACCACCACTACAGCGTGTGAGGAGTAACCTATGTTCTATATAGGTATTATAATAATAATAATTGGATACTTATTTCAATACAAGTTCAACAATATACATACTTGTACCTACCATTAGTTTTAATAACAAAGGCTTAATGGAAATAATTATTTCGTGTTAATCAAGAACATTTTTTAAAATTTTATTCAACGTTTTTACTATTGTTACCTACCTACTTAGGTATACGGTTTATACTCACATTTTTTTCACCGATCATTAATTACATTGTATTATGAAGTATTTAAAGTAAAATCATCAAAATTAATCATCTAATAATAAAAATAATAGAAATAATAATAATAATTTGTTAAATATTTTTATTTGACTAATAGACTAAGAATTATCCACAAAAATACTTTACTAAACAATTCATAGACATTTATTCAAATAAAATATGTTTTAATGTTTCACAATAGTATTTCTTAAAGTTATTTACTTTAGTATGGGCAAAACAAATATATTCCAAACACATAAACAGTTGAATGTCTTCTTTAATAAATGATTTTTAAATAATTAAGAAGTTTAACACTAAAAAGGATAAGCTAATAAAATATTATTATAAGTATTTATATAGTAGCATTATATGGAGTGTGATATACAAGTCTCGATAATGTTATGTTTAATTGATAGTTATTTATTTTGTTTTCGAATACTTTTATTCTAATTTGTTATTTTTTTCAACTGATTGTAGTTGTATCTCGATAAGAACAACAAAATTTTATCTATATTCTGATAGTCAATAAGTATAGAAATATAACGTCGAATACATTTTAACAAGTAAATAAACGTTATAAAATGTTCATTGGGGAATTAATTAACTATACTCTAATAGTTAAATAGGGCATCAAATAATAAAAATATTACGTTATATAAGTACATTGATAATTATATTATTATTATAGTAATACCGCAGTAAAAGTGATTAATAGAAAACATTAATAATAATATTGTTATTGGCTTATTGCCTGAAAGAGTAAAAAAAAATATATCACGAATAAATGACGATAGGGTTATTAATTGAGAACAAATTTAATAATATATCATTAATATTTAATAATATTAAAGTAATACTGTCGCAGACTGTCGATAATAACAATAATCTGGTTACGTATGTCTAGTCTACAATACTGAATACACTGTAATAATATGTACAAGTAAATAATGAATAATAAATAATTATGTATACTACAATAAGCACATAATATTTATAGATTATACAGGTTACGCGTAAGTGTTTTCGAGTGAGTGCGCCGCACCTGAATGGTTTTTAATAGTATTATTAAAAACGGTCAATATGCTCTATAACTATGATTCTCGAGTGTGAATCGCATACGTGAGGCACGCGGCTGTTACTCGTCACTGTTGTATAAGATTCGATAACTTGCGTGTTTGTCAGAAGACCGTGCACGGGGTCCTTATATTATTATAAATTGTCCAGTGCGTGGGTATTTATTTTTTAACATGTGGTATACGGTACCTATTTTTCAGGGAAACACGATCATTACAGAGGGGATATTTAAATTATAGAGGCACTACAATAATTTTTTTTCCGGGCAACCTTGCCTGTAGCTATATATATATTAAATTCACCTACTCCAGCTATTAGTTCTAGAAATTAATCTGCAAAATGTTAGTGCATTATGAAATGTTTACTACTATCAATCATCATCATAGGTACCTATACAACATTTACTATGGTTCCCCGCTGATTTGGTGCGGTGGGTGGATGTAATTTTTTTTTGTTCCAGTGATTCGGAGAGGCAATTTTTATAAACATAATATTTTTTAAATTAAGAGACAACGAATCGTAAGTTTAGGTGTTTAACAACTGTTTAAGCCGTACTTACTGGGGTCGGAAGGTAGCAGCTTCATTTTGTCGAGGTCGGTGGCTTCGCGGTCATTGTAGATGATCACGGCTGAGGCGCCGGCTCGCCGAGCGTTATCCACTTTTGTCTGGAAACTGCACTTGCCCCTGCGCACCAGCGCTATCCAGGGAACGGCTTCCGGTGGTTCTTGCATGACACCGTGGACGGGGGACGCGCACCCGTTGCGGTCGCCGTCCGAACCGATCACTTGCAACAGCATCCCGGACGCGGCCCCCACGTGATACTCGCCGAACTTGCCGATCTCCGATTTTTCAGTCTGGATCGCGAAGCCCGTGATCGCATCGTAGGTGGTCACGTTCAGGTACGCTGTCGTGTACGAGTCAGCTGTCTCGTCGATGGTGGACGCGGCGGCCGGCCACGGGTCCGACGACGCAGCCACGCCGAGTAACGTCCACGCGGCCAGCATCGCGTGCATGGCGAGGCGGATGGTGGTGTCCGCCGTCGTGGACGACGATTTAAATTCGATCGTCTGAAATATAATACGACAATACGTTGATAACTTGTATTTTCTATTGACGGACGGGGTCGAACTTATGCGCGGTTGTTTTCTTTTTTAAAAGTGTGCAAACGAAAATCGATATTTTTCGACCGTATTAATTTAGTTTCCTCGAAAACGGGATGGTAAAATCTGACCGAAGACCGGGTACTGCACTACATCGCCGCAGACGCGACGGTAATACTATCGACGTCGTGAAACCGATCGATCGAACTGGCCTGCTCAGGCTCTGTGCGCGTTTTCACCGCGAACTGACGACTTTCCGTTACTGAAAGACGACCGTCGGGCATTCCGCGGCTGCTGTGGAGGCGGCTGCCCGGGACGAATGTCGGCGGGCGATAACGATTTTATTCGCGTCTAATCGCAAGATAACTACGCAATCGCTACCGTGAGAATTTCACGCTGAGACTACACTATAGCTGTTGTACGACTACACGACTAAATCGGGATCGAAAGTCTTCGCCTAAAGTGCGGGCGAAACGATGGACCACGGCGCGTGTCTCGCACACTACTGACGTTCTGTTATCGGGCCCCACTGCACTGACGCGGGCGGCGTGACGTTAAAATACGGGGACCCCGTTATTGCGGCGGCGTCGGCGGCAGTGGCGGTCCTATAATGTAGTAGTAGCGTTTAGAATAACAATAACAAACCAATGCCGCCAGCCAGAGCAGCGTTAAAATACCGCACGCTCTCCCGTCACGTTCGCCGAGACCGTGCCGTGAGCAATACAACACACGCCGCCACATATTTTAAATTTCAACCTCTGGTGTTCTGGTCTCTGACCGCCAAACATCACTTTGCTTATTGTAATAATATTTATTCTTATTGTGTCATTGTAACGACTTGACGTTCGTGTAAGTCTGACATCGAAGCATCAAAACCAGCCTTAAAGTTATTGTACCTGGTACCTACCAATGTACCTATGTATTATTTTATACCTTACCCAGATACGCAATATATTAATATCCGATAATCTCCGGTATCCTTATGATTTTTATGATCTCGCTGATTATAGCATCCACCGTGTATGATTTAGAATGAGTTACAAAAATATTATTATGTAGTTATCTGGTTTATTCAAATTTCAAATGACATAGATGATAATATGGTATTTCGGATAATTTCGATCAAATATTTGAACCATATATACTTAGGTAGGAACTATAATATGAAATTGTATTACCTTAGCAATTTATTATAGTCATTATTAAATCGATATAGAAATGTTATCTGAACTTCCAGTAAATATTTATTCCAAATGAAATTTCAAATATATATATCAAATTTTGTAAAGATTTAATATGAATATTAAATTATTTACACTCCTCTATTTATCGTTTTATGCTTATTGTTCATGAAGACCCTACCTTTAATCATCCTTAAAAAATTATCAACTGGACCCAGTCTTTACTAACACTATATTTATTAACATTATTACCTTTATTCACAATTATATTACTCCTTATCATTAAGTTATTGTGAATATTTATTTTATACTTCACATTGTTTTATGCTCAGACATGTCTAAATAAAATAAAATAAAAATAATATAATCAGAATACAAAGATAGATTATTGATTTAAAACTTACGTTTGGCACCCATCATCAAAATATTATTCATTTGTCAGTATATATAACAAGATCTAAAATATTTATTTGAATGTATAGTTTATTATGTAATTCAAGAAATTAATGTATTTCTGATTTAAAATTGTAAGAATAATAAACAATATTTTCGAAATTGTATGTAAAATTGTGTACATTAAATAAAATATTTTATTATTTTTAAAATAATTATTTTTTTAAAGTTATAACATGTCTTTAAAATAATATATAGAGCAAATATTTAGCATATAGAATTAAACCTACCTCTCAATTATTACAATATATCGTAAATAATGTTTCAATAATAAAATCTTTAACATTACACCATTTTATTCTAGTGATAGAAATTTTAAAGTTAGAGTTCGATTGTTTATATACTTGCGTATAAATACACATTTATTGGTTAACCTCAGAAGTTAGAAAATGCAACACGAATGGGTGATCTCCAAATCTATTTTAAATTGTTAAGTTTAACCAATCAGAAATTTGTACATTATAAAGTATATACTTATATATGTATCAATAATAAATGTATAATTCTGCTAAATAGTTTTTTTTCGTGTTAGGGGATGAAAGACACAATATAGTTGTGTAATCATTGGATATTGTTACAATATTAAATATAACCTTATCTCTGGCCTCTGCAAATAAATTATTCCTCAAAATTAAAATAAATCTTTTAGGTACCTATAGGCTATATAGTTATTATTTGAACTAAAATTACGTACACAGGGTGAATATAACAATTTGGGTGTTCGGCATTCATCTCTCTCTTCATCCATCTTGGTATAAAATAGTAGGGAACCCATTTCGAATTTTGACTGCACAGTGCTAATTTTTTTGGTACTCCTCTCCACATGTATTTCGATTTTTAACTGTATATTAAACTATTTGATTCATATTACTACGTATGTTATATAATTAAATAGGAAAAACAAACCGAACAATGAAAAATAAACACATATTAAGCAGGTACAGATCACAGCACTTATGCACAAGTCTCAGAACACGGTTTTTTTTCACAATCACATGAACCGTCAGTGTGTAAAACAAGTAAAATAAAAAAATGTTTTCCAAAATGATAATAATATTTGTTACAAAATAAATATGGAGGCAATATTATGCTCATATGAAATTACATACATGGAACGGTGTTCACCTGCCTAAATACGTTTTTACAGGTCTCCGTGTATATTTCATACTTTTTCTGAGTGGTTTTTAAGCACGTTTTTAACCCGTTTATACGTGGTTAAATTATGCATTCATTAAAATTCAGATTTTGGATTTTTTTATTTCATATATAGGTTTTAAAGCCTAGAGGCCAATTACTTTTCACGGCGTTTGAGAACTTAGCGATTCTACGACTAAATTATACATCAAGGTTTTATTTGGATTTTACAAGCCTACCAATGTCCAATATATAACACTAAATTATCTTAAACTGCAATAAATTTTAAATAATAACCGTAGAGGCGCGTCATAATACCTATACGAGAAACCTGTGAATAACATATTATTTCAACGATTGTTGCGTACTTGAGTGTCTTACCTTGACGCGCGCCGCACTCCTGTACATCGTAATCCTCTTGAAACGGACGACACGTTTCGTCGTATACCGGAAATGGCGATGGGCTCAAAGATATATTGTACGTATTCGACGCACAATATTGAATATAATATTAATTTGACCGGTGAAACGGTGTGATCGAGCATCGAGAGCCGTTGAGAATCGGACGATGACGATGGCGTATATGAGAAAACGGTCGGCGGCCACTGTTGAAGTTTTTCTACGATGACTGGCCAACCCGACCAACGGAAAATATCGGAGTTAGCCGCGAATAATATGACCCGTAATATTATGGACTGCGGTATAAATTCGACGACTGCGGTATAAATTCAATGACCGCGGTCCACATTGGAAATGGTAGCTATAGTATATTATAATAGTTGCGAGTGGACAACCGTGATATTTTCCATCGTCACCCGCCGTCGGTCATTGGGTTCTTGGAAAACGCGTCCGTTATCGGCCTTTGTTTTCAGGTTTTTCGCGCCTTTCCATACTCGACATTCGTCCCTTGATGACACCGTTTTCAAGTCGTCGACCTCGAGTGCGTTAGACGTTAGTAAGTTTATAAGTGATATGCTCTGTACCACTGTGACGCAATTCCAGCGAAACGAGTATTGTACATTTATGAATATCGTCATACTTTCTGGTCCGACGAAACGCGTTGCCTGTTTATTGAATATTATAAGAATCGAAAGCGGAGTAAGGTAAGACGCATTATATTATCATGTCACCTATTCGTCTATATTATATTCATAGGTTCCTAGTAGGGATAGACAACTATTTACATGCTTTTACGGCCGATCTTAATATAATTAGAATATATGCTATTATTATTAAAATGATTGGTACCTAAATAATAATTGTATTGTGCTATTACATAAATAATTACTATTAAAATAATTATAAACTCTCAGGTATGCTAATATAAAAAAATTATTCAGGGATCCATCTCTTCCAGAGCTTCGATCACTGTCTATAGAAACTTCCCTATATCAGCTCCGAAGATAATCGACTTTTAATCAGACTTTAAATCAGTTATAGTTTATCGTATTTGAAAACCGATTATGAATGGAGTTCGATTTACTGTAGTTTAAAAATATACTTTTATAGCTTATATTATGATAGCGTCAAGTGCTAATATTCTATTATCTTAAGTTAACTATTCATGTAAAGTTATTTTTACAACATATTTTATTGAAGACAACCTACTTATTTGATTCAAGCAGTGACACAGGTGTACTTCGCAAAATGTTGGTCCACTATGCCTTTCATATAAAATTTGATTAATACTTATAAGTTATAACTAATTCACTATTTGATCAAAATTCGGTTTTTATATATCCATCGAAGTAGGTACTCAGAAAATTATTTTGCTTAGGAACGTGTATTTAAAAATGTTTGTTATCTTTCAGAAAAGTACAAACTTAAAAATGATAATGAAAATGTTCATTAAAAATATTGTTTTAAAAAGACATACAATTATGAAAAAATACCTAATATTTTCAAAAAAAAATAAGTTTTTGAAATAATGAGTGTAAATACTTAAATGGATCACCTTGTATACATACGAAATGTGTACTTAGATTTCTTGCATACTATTTTATTTAATAATGTAGTATTAGATAAATAGAAGAATAGTCCTAATCATAAACTTTTTGAAAAACATATCATAAATATTAAACTGTTAAGCTTAAATTCGTTATTTACAAAATACAAGCCCACCCAAGTTGCCTATCTAACATGCGAAGTTTATACGTTTTTATTTCTACTTTATATTGGAGTAATAGTGAAATGGTGAGTGGATAGCAGTTTATCCACTCACAGTTTCGCTGTATCAACAATATTTTATCAATTTTACACTCACTTCATTTATTTATAACTTAAGTTCAGAAAACATAACTAAAATTAACTTTCAATGCTTTTACTTACTAACTGTAGTCTGTTTGTACTTATACTTAAAAATAAACCAACATAATTTCCGATTTATAATTTAATTTTCATAAAACATTTATACGAATCTAAAATTAAGTATTAGACTATCATTGTGTTAACGATACTATATAAATGGCTTTCTCCTTTTCTGTTCCTTCAAAAATCAAGACGGATATTTGCGTTTTCTCTTTAAATTAATTCTTAGATTGCTATTTGATAGATTAACTATATTTTCTTATTTTTCCATTTGATACAAGTAATATAAGACACGTGGGATATTACTAAACATGACGTCTTAATCCCATTTGCTCATTTTGATAAAAATACCCAAGAAAATTAATTTCCATCGATCCCTGTTCATCATCGGTTAATAGCTTTCACTTATTACTCTCCGGTATCAGTGTATAAATGTGTAATGTATACACTTTCGATTATTTATGATG